AAAATATATTGGTAACATAGAAATACTGACAAAAATATATGATGATGCAGATGACTGTGGTTGAGGCATATGTTGGGAGAAAAAAGATAAATCCGCCAGATGATACCTCACAGTTGCATCCGCTGGTTTCCACTCTCCTAAGTGAGGGCGTTGCGCACAATACCACTGGCAACGTATTTGAGCCAACGGTAATATTTCTCTTTAGTTGTCACAGCATCATTAAGGGAGGAATGACATTGTTTTCCTGAGCTGTTGAGCTTTGATGGTATTCTCAATTTTAAATGTTAGTATTTAAACACAAAACATCAATTTATTTAGCAGGGTGGTAAAGTCGAGATTTCTGGATCTCCTACGGAAAAGGCTATACTTTCATGGGCATTCAAGGTTCATTTAAATGTGCTTTAGCATACTCTGGTACTCTTGTTTTCCAATATTTGAAGATTTTCTAAGTTATCATATTCTGCATCGCAGTTGGGGATGAAGTTTGATGTTATCAAATTGGAGTCTACAGTCCTTCATGTTTTCCCTTTCAACTCGGAGAAAAAGCGAGGTGGTGTTGCACTAAAACAGGTACTTGATTAGATAAAGGTGTAAATTTTCAATTTCGGAATCACAAGATTAAGACCCTGTGGGATCTGCATAGTAAGATGCCTTTATTCCATCTAGAAAGCCTCACGTGGTGCATAACTTTATATATGAGCTTGAAGTAAATCGACTATATCCAGTGGAAGGTGATAACCCGCTGCATTTTTCATCTGGAAATTATTACTGCATTTTTGAATGCAAGATTAATATACTTACATAGTGAGACATACATGATAATACCTCCATAGAGCTACTTCAATCTTTTCTGTGCTCAGCTTCTCTTTCGTTGCCTGATTAATCGCGTGATAATGTTATTTCTTCACTTTCTTTCTTTTCATGACAGGCTGACTCTAAAGTTCATATACATTGGAAAGGAGCAGCGGAGATAGTTCTAGCCTCGTGCACAGAATATCTTGACTCAGATGGTTGCTCGCAGAATATTGAAGATGACAAGGTTGGGAACACGAGCCATAAAAACATAATCAGAAAATCTTAACATATATAAAAAACACATATTCTGAAAGATTTTGAGAAAATAAAATCTAGGACAAGCAGAATTTTACTTAATTTAAATGAACATACTCCAGGAAGTTATGTATGAGAGTAAGGGCTATATCTGGCACTTCTGCTCTTGGTAACGATGAGAATTGATACGTACAAAACTCTTAGGGTCCATTTGGATGGAAGATCCGGAATAAGGGTATTGGATTGCATGTAAATTGCTTAGTTGTGCTTTGAAAAATGTTGCTCGTATGTTCAGAAAATCCACATGTGGGTTTTCACGAAAAAGAAGAGTGGGCAATCGTTATTTCATATATCCTCGTTTTCTTGAAGGGAGCTGTTATTGGCACTCCAAAAAGATCATCATGCACTCCAAATTTACAAAAACACAAGGAAAAAAATTGTACAGTGAGGATTGCAGGATAGCATTATGCCAATAACTACACCTTTTCTCTTAGAAAAATGAGAAATATTTGTCTCTTGAAATTATCCTGTGAAATTTGGTTATGATATCTTGTTATATCCTTTGCAGGAGTTTTTCAAGACGGCTATTGATGACATGGCAGAACGCAGTTTGCGGTGTGTTGCCATTGCATACAGACCATATGAACAGGACAAAGTTCCTACTGATGAAGAGCAATTAAGTCAATGGGCTTTACCAGAAGATAACCTTGTCCTGCTTGCTATTGTTGGTATAAAGGTGCGTCCAAGAACAAGTCTCATGATACTGAATTATTTTTCTTGCCATTTAATTTCTCATCCGCACACACATGGACAAAATAAATTCCCAACTATTCCAGTTATTTATTTAGAGCAACCGTTGCGTATCTGTTTGATGGCCTACGGCATCGACAGTACCATTTTCTTAGGCCTTGCTTTTAATATAAAGTATTTTCTTCCTAGCTAATATGTATGTTGGTGATTAGGATCCTTGTCGTCCTGGTGTCAAAGATGCAGTGCAACTATGCACTGAAGCTGGTGTTAAGGTAACTTTCCTCATTGATATTATAACATCTTGATTTATGCTACACTTCTGCAAACATAATGATGTATACTTATCTACATGATAAAACATTTTATATTATGGTTCTCAAGTCTGGAAAATGACCGATGAATCTCGTTTTTGTGAACCTGTAGGTACGCATGGTCACTGGAGACAATCTTCAAACAGCAAAAGCCATCGCGTTAGAGTGTGGAATACTACTTTCACTCGAAGATGCAACTGAGCCTACTATCATCGAAGGAAAAACATTCCGTGAATTGTCTGAAAAGGAAAGGGAACAAACCGCCAAGAAAATAACAGTATGGTTCCTACATTATGGAAAATTTTATAACTTTAAATCTTCAGTCTGTTTCTCTTGCTAATTCTGTTATTTCTAGATTGCATGTCTCTGATTGTACCTAATGGTAATGAACCTTTTTATTACGGTGTTGCATAGGTAATGGGCAGATCTTCCCCTAATGACAAGTTGTTGCTTGTGCAAGCATTACGTAAGGGGGGTGAAGTTGTTGCAGTAACAGGAGATGGCACTAATGATGCTCCAGCACTTCATGAGGTTTGTCATCTTTGTGAATTTAATAAGTTCATGTGGTTGGCGATTTCATGTCTTTTTAGTTTTAAACTTCCCGATAACCAGTCTTTTTAGCAAAATTCCTTGTTATAGTTGATCAGATCTTACCATTTTTGTATTTTAGGCAGATATTGGTCTTTCTATGGGCATTCAAGGAACTGAAGTTGCAAAAGAAAGTTCGGATATCGTTATCTTGGATGACAATTTTGCCTCTGTTGTAAAGGTCAGTAAGTCTACTTAATGTAAAGCAATGATGAGGTTAGGGTGGTGATTTTTGTCTATTCTGAATGTCTCTCTGTACATTATGTAGGTTGTTCGCTGGGGACGTTCTGTGTATGCAAATATTCAGAAATTTATCCAATTTCAACTTACTGTTAATGTTGCCGCTCTTGTAATTAATGTTGTGGCTGCAATCTCTTCTGGTAGTGTTCCGTTAAATGCAGTACAGGTCTCTCTCTCTCTCTCTCTCTCTCTCTCTCTCTCTCTCTCTCTCTCTCCCCCACAATCTGGAATATGAAGCCAGAACAAAAATGAGTGAAAGAGTTTTACAGCACATTTCTTTTCTGTCATCTTCCTTCGTACATTGTGGTTGTAATAATTTATTTCATGTTCTTCGTACAGCTTCTGTGGGTTAACTTGATCATGGATACTCTAGGAGCACTTGCATTGGCTACCGAACCACCTACAGACAACCTTATGCAGAGAACACCAGTTGGCCGGAGGTATAAGATAGTGCCAGCAATTACATACTCTTAACAATCTGAATTTGATACTATTCAAAGTTAAATTTTGTTGTATTCTAGATTCCGTCTGAGTGAAGTAATAATCTGATATTTGTTTCTTAGGGCACCTCTTATAACGAACATCATGTGGAGGAACCTACTCGTTCAGGTACCTCCTCTCTTTTGGATTATCGTTTTGCACTTTTACAAACATCGCAGTTGAAGCATCATATATTAACATTGTATGAATCTGTTCTCTAATTTCATCGCTTTTACTTGGCACAGGCTATGTATCAAGTTACCGTCCTCCTTGTCCTCAACTTTAAGGGAAATCGCATTCTTGGTCTGCAGAAGGATGTCCAAAAGCATGCCATTGGTGTGAAGAATACTCTCATATTCAATGCATTCGTCTTTTGCCAAGTAAGTATGGGACTTAAAAATAGTTATGTGGTATTACGATTAGGAGTTGCGTTTCAATTGTTTAGTTAAGCTGGATTTATTATTTGTTCTAACACCTATCTTGACTTTTGACAGATTTTCAATGAGTTCAATGCTCGAAAACCTGAAGAAATAAATGTGTTCATCGGAGTGACCAAAAACTACCTCTTCATGGGAATAATAGGAATCACATTGGTACTTCAGGTGAGAGGCCACTGCATTTATATTCTGGTTTCGGGTTCTTCCTGTATACAATTACCGAGTTTAACTCCAATTTCAGATAATCATCGTTATGTTCCTCGGAAAATTTACAAAAACAGTGAGACTATCATGGCAGCAATGGCTCATATGCTTGGGAATTGCCATTGTCAGGTAAGTTAACTTGAACAATGCTTATGTTTTTCTAACTGGCTAAAGTTTGGCTAACGTTTAATAAAACATGCCAGTTATTTTTGTTTCGAAATCTTAGTAACTTAACTGCCTTTATTTTCCGATAGTTGGCCTCTTGCTGTTATTGGAAAACTAATTCCGGTCCCAAAGACTCCGTTTTCCCAGTACTTCAGTCGGCCTATTCAGCGGTACAGAAATTCTCGTAATCGTAATACCTAATGCGCATCTCCCTAGTTATGTTCTGTACATGTACATGCTATCAAACCTTCAATTTTCAGAACATCTTTGGAAGATCACGCTAGTCATCCGAGTTTCTTCTTACTATGAGAAATAAATAAGGAAATTGAGGATTCTCGTTCTCAAAACTCAGCTCTATTGATCTGTCAAACTAGGAGGATATGCATTTGGCCAAAGACGGATTAAATCCTTCTCCGTGGGTATGCCCTTTTCGGTTTTTCCCCCTCCTCGTTTCTCAGGGCACACGAGAATAGCGATCTATCATTCTTTTTTCGCCTGAAAATATTCCGGCATAAAAGGATGGTTATAGTATGGCATCTCCTTCCTTACCACTATTTTCTATAGCTTTTGTGTAAGAGTTTGCTCGTCACAGATTTGTATATCCAATTAGTAAATTGCTGTGTAATTTATTAGCAAAGTGTAAATAGAAAGCTGTTACTGTTTTGGAGTAATTTTTTTTCGAATTTTCACTTCAAAATCTTGCTCTTTGGAAATTGCTTTTGCACTCAGAAGAAACAAATTTTATCAATCATTGGACTAAACAAAATAAGCTCATCTGTTTGTTCTGACAAAAACGATATTCTATGCTATTCTAATCCCTAGGGAGAAGAATTTGAACTTGAATGCATGTAGTCGGCACACTGCCTTCGCTAACTGGCATAGCTCACGTCTGCAAAGATTTGCACATCTTTATGTGTGAAAGTAAGAGTCATTTGCTAAAGTTTGCACGTCCCAGCCAACCCCCGAATATTCACTGATCTGCATGTCTTGCTGGTAACTTGCACCATGAACAACATTTTGCTGCTGCTGGTGCAGTTGCTGTTGTGCAATGTAGGATGCTATTTGACCGTTTGTCTTGAGTATCTCGGATTGAGCCTCCAATATATGGTGTTGCAATTGAGAAATAATTCTAACACATCCATAAACTGGATCTTCAACGCGTAACGATGCCTCGTAAAACATGGAGTCTGCTGCTGCTTCTCTTAAATGGACTGGAAGTTGCTGCATTTACAATACAATTAGACGATTATTTATGATTATAGACAAATTCGGTACACTCGCATATCCGAAAAATAAGAACAAGGATTTCAATTATTTCTATATTTTCGACAAAACTTTGGAGTTAAGGTAGTGAGGAAAATACATGTATATGTTTCTCGTATACATGTTTAGAAAAGTCTCAAGTTCGAATTTCCCTTATTTCACCAATAAAAAAAAACGGTTTTATGCAACTGGCAATAAGAAAGTCTTCCTCCGTGTGATGAACATGCATGAGTGTAGCAGCATTGGCTAGAGCAGATGTTCTCTCCTCATGCATCTGAGTTCAAATCCCAACCTCACCGCAGTTTAGGACAAATGCTACTTAATTAATGATGAGCAATATCTTAATTAATTGTTTACCTCTAACATTTTGGTAATGTTGCCGGCACCAAAGATCTTATGAACACAAGCAAATCTCTCTGGATTGGAGGAGGGAAAATAGGGGGCCAAAACACAATCTTGAGGGCATCTTCTTCTCAAAAATCTGCAAGCTGCACATCTCGTTGGATTATTGGAAATCATATTTAGATATTACCACAGATTCTTTACGATCTACCCAAAAGATTTTGCTTCTCAAAATTTCGAGGAAATCACATATTTCTGAGTGATTTTGTTTCCAATATATATTAGGTGTTCATAGATCCGTTTGAATATTTCGAATTCAATCACGAATGCTTAGGGTGGTAAATTTGTCTAATATTGGAAAAAATATAACGGCTACTTTCTTTTGTCAAACTTTCAAAAATTTAAGGATGGATTTGATTGAAGGCAAGGGATGGAGAAATTTTTAATTGTGACGGGAACACTGGTACACCACGTGTTTTAATAAAAGTGGTGAAACATTTTATTTTTTAAGTTATTAACTTTTTAGCACACATATCTCATCATTTGTATAGTGATATATGGTGTACTATTTAATATACCGGTCACACTGAAAAATCTCTCCAAGGGAAGGCATAATATTCATTATTTTTTAAGATTTCCATATGAATTGTTAGACCATCTCCAAACCTGGGCTAAAAACCAAATTACCATCCAAATTACCCCCCCAAACACTCTCTAACCCATGTTAAAATTTTAGGCTAAATGCCAAATGTTATTTCTGGGCCAAATACCCCCCAGCTTTCCCCCCGGGCTAAATGTCAAATGTTTATCGGAATTTAATTTTTTTTTAGATTAAAATGTTCATAAAATTAATTTACAATAATCTACATATTTATTTTTTTTAAATTGATTTAAGAAAAAAAATTAGCCTAAGTTCATTCTTTAATAATTCGGGGCTAAAATTTTAGGGCAGAAGGGTTGGAGCAGAAAAAATGTTTCTGGGCTAAAAGCCAAATTTTTCGGGCTAAAAAATTTGGCTTTTAGCCCAAGGGTTGGAGATGGTCTTAGGGTGTTAGGGTTTTACCATTTATTTTTCACTCAAAGTCTACATTATTTCAATTATTTCTATTAACTTTAATATCTGTTTTAAAAGAAAATCTCAAAGCTTTTATGTTGTGGCATCGACTCCTATAAAAAGTCCCACAAACCTAAGCTATTGTGCGTTTTTGTACAAGTGATTTTGGAGAAGGAGAATCAACACAATAATTCAAATGCAGGATTAAACAAACATAACTATTAGAATTACAACTCCACTGTGTATTCGATTATCCTCTCCTTGAGCTTTTAGCAAATTAAGATGCAAACCCAATGCCTATACAATAGAGAGAAACTTGGGTAGGGAGCCTGACCAGCTAAATAGTCAGGTAGAATAGGTCTCACTCGTATAATCTCTTAATATACAAAGTATTATTGCAAATGAAAGTGGCGTAACTGCCCTATCAAATTTTACCTTTAATTATTCCTGATTATTCATAGTTTTTGCAAGTAAATAATTTAATAACGAAACAAAATTCCAATCAATTTGAAAATTAATTTTGTAATGAATAAAATGTAAAACGACAACCTTAATGATGATTATCCTAGAAGATTATTCTTGTACTAAACTAATTTTTGGCACAACGTTTTATAATATTGACATGAGAATTAACGTTAAACTCAGCAGAGAGATCATGAAAAGTCTTTTTTGTTTTATTTTATTTTTATTTAACAAACATATTATCTACACTTGGAAGGAGAGGTGGCTAACCTCATGAAAAGTCTTTTTTGTTTTATTTTTTTTATTTAACAAACATATTATCTACACTTGGAAGGAGGGAGTTGCTTAGTCTCACAATGGACTAGCAATAATGTGGTTCAAATTCGCCTTCGACGAGGAATCGAACCTAAGACCTCTCACTTACAAGTGAAAAAGAATATCACTAAACCGTAGTACAATGTAGCTGAATTATCTCATTTTAAAATAATCCCTTAGCATTGCGCTCTTCAATGAATGTAAATAAAAGTAAGGCATGACCATATGGTATGATTTTGAGATGACGGTTGGTGATATGAGTGTGTTAGGGTTACAATTGAGAATTTAATGAACTTCATGAGGGTATTAATCGGAAAGGCAAAAGTTCTGGGCGTGTGAGGGAGAACAGAGAGGCCCTTCCCTCCCTTGTCTAACTATCGCGCAATTTCCACACCTGCCCTTCCCTACTCTTAACAGTCGCTCACCCTCTATCCCCTCTCTCTCTTTCTTAGCTTCCATTTTTCAGTCTCAGCCTCCACCGCCACCTCAGTTTGATACCCTTCGTTGTTCTCCGTAACTGTTCAGTGTATTTTCTACTCCTTCTCTGCTTGCAGCCGCCAGCTGATCCGACTCAAGTTTCTCCTCCATTTTCTCATCTATTGCCAAACAGGTATTTCTTTAGCCTGCGATTGAGATTTGAGCAAAAGAATCTGCTTTTAAAAGAGTCATCTTTTGATTGTGATATTTGGGTTTTTTTTTTTTTTTAATATGAAAAGGAGGGGACGTGATTGTGAATTTGTGATTATAGGGGATTTTGGTGAAATTAGGGATTGGGTTTTTAGTAATGTTGAAATTCATGCTGTTGGGGATTATTATTTTTTCATACATGTAGACATATTCAGGCGAATGGTTTGAGCTGTTGGGTTGCTTCTCAGCTTTGGGTGCGGATAATAGGTTGGATTGGATTGCAAAATTAACAAACTAGCCAGCTTGCTCTGGATTTAGTTTTGCCCAAATTTAAATATTTTTCGGCCCATCAACACCAGTAGTTTGATTCTTGCTCAGTCTGTGTGCATTTGATCCTTTGCTTAATTTGATCTGTGGATTTACTGTGGATGGACAGAAGAAGATTAGGAGATGACAGACCGTTTGACCCGTATAGCTATAGTGAGCTCGGACAGATGCAAACCCAAGAAGTGCCGCCAGGAATGCAAGAGGAGCTGTCCTGTTGTCATCACAGGTATGTTACAGTAACCCCTTCTTACTTATATAATTTCCATTAGTGTTATGTAACAATATGTGTATACATGTCTGTCGCTCTTCATAAAAGAAATAAGTATCAGGACTAATTAGATTACTCAGATAATGGTTTGTTTTGTTTTGTCGAAAACAAAAGTGAATTGTGATCTTGCTATTATATTTCTATATGGTTTCTGTGATGCACGGTTCTTGATAACTTGGATTTGTCAGCTGTTTTTTTTATCATGCGAATTGGTATTTATCTTGAAACATATTATTTGTGTTCAAATGGTCGTGGAAGCTACTTGTGACGGGAGAATGACTCGATGATTATGTTAAGTAAATAAAAGGAGATAAAGGTAATGGAATGCCTCCTGCAAGGAGAAACACTTAGAAATTTAATTATGCTCAAAGCTTGCCATAGAAAGAGATTATTGGTTTATAAAATCAAGGAAAGCTTCTATTGAAGGTTACTAAAAATACAGGCATGAACTCTTGCATATAATGAGGTGGCTTCAAATGGATTTAATGTTTCTGTTGGCGAGTTCCTGTTATGCATTATCATAGCAACTGTGTTTGCTTTTTTGTGAATGAGCTGCTTTTTTATTATCTTTGTCTTTATGTGGTCTTAATATATATATGTTGTTTTCCTATAGTGCTACAAACATACACACTACTAATCAGTCTATATGCAGGTAAACTATGTGTCGAGGTTACCTCTGCATCCAAGATTGCTTTCATCTCAGAAGAATTGTGCATTGGATGTGGTATTTGTGTTAAGGTATGTAAGAAGTGCTGTTACTGTCATTTGCCTGTTTATCTTGTGTTTTAAAGGCATTAATTGGACTCTATACCGTCTGATGATGCAGAAATGCCCATTTGAAGCAATCCAAATCATTAACTTGCCAAAGGATTTAGACAAAGATACAACCCATCGCTATGGGCCTAACACTTTCAAGCTACACAGGTTAGCTCCTCACGACATTACCGGGAAGTGATCGCTTTTGCATTTATGTGGTTTGGGATAACATAAATTTTGCAATTTCAGGTTACCAGTCCCAAGGCCAGGTCAAGTTCTTGGTTTGGTTGGAACGAACGGCATTGGGAAGTCAACTGCCCTCAAAGTTTTGGGTGGAAAGTTGAAACCAAATTTAGGTCGTTTCAAAGTAAAACTCCTTACAGAAATTCCCCTTCTTTGACAAGTTTATTATGTTTCAAATATGTTTGGTGCATTCTTCGATTATCTTATCTTGATGGTTTTTTATTTTTTATTTTTGCAGAATCCTCCAGATTGGCAGGAAATCTTGACCTACTTTCGAGGATCTGAGTTGCAGAATTTTTTTACCCGTATCCTGGAAGATAATTTGAAGGTACCATTTGATTTTGATGCCTATAATCTTTCGTACTAAAAGTTTAGCATTTAAATGAATATAATATTGTGTGTTCTATCGTGGGTATATTTTGGCCATCTTTTGTTGTCTCTAATCATTATATTGTCTTATGTTATATTTGTTCTTGCTTATTTGCATAATATTCTTTTTACTTAACAGGCCATTATAAAGCCTCAATATGTTGATCACATTCCAAAAGCAGTTCAAGGGAATGTTGGGGAGGTGCTCAGTCAGAAAGATGAGAGGGATATGAAGGAAAAATTATGTGCTGACCTTGAGCTGAACCAGGTTATAGAGCGTAAGGTAGGGGATTTATCTGGTGGGGAGCTTCAAAGATTCGCCATTGCTGTCGTTGCCATACAGCATGCAGAGATATATATGTTTGACGAACCTTCAAGTTATCTTGATGTCAAACAAAGGCTTAAAGCTGCCCAAGTTGTCCGATCTTTACTCAGGCCTAATAGGTTTAATTTTATATTTTCTCTTATTTTCTCAAAATTGAATTGCATGGTTTGTTTGGATTCCATTTCTTGATTGTCTTACTGCATATTTAGCTAATAGTCATATTTTCTTATATTTTCCAGCTATGTAATTGTTGTGGAGCATGATCTTAGTGTCTTGGATTACTTATCAGACTTCATTTGCTGTTTATATGGGAAACCGGGTGCATATGGAGTTGTAACTCTTCCTTTCTCAGTTAGAGAAGGAATCAACATCTTCTTGGCTGGATTTGTTCCTACAGAAAATCTTAGGTTCCGGGATGAATCTCTGACCTTCAAGGCAAGATTATAAATTTTATCCATGAAATGCTCTTTTGACTTGTAACTGGGAAAAAAGAAAGACTCCCTTGACTTATTATTGCTTTGTGATTTACTTTGTTGTCTTTACCAGGTTGCTGAGACTCCACAGGAAAGTGCTGAGGAAATTGAGACATATGCACGATATAAATACCCATCAATGACTAAAACTCAGGGGAACTTCAGGCTTCGTGCGGTTGAAGGTGAATTTACTGATTCTCAGATTATTGTAATGCTGGGAGAGAATGGAACAGGGAAGACAACATTCATCCGTATGCTGGTATTCTTTATTTTCATCTTCTTTTTCTTCAGTCATAGTTGCTTTGCAGCTTCAGATGTTGAGTTAGCATATTGCCCAATTTTCAGGCTGGTCTATTGAAACCTGATTCTGTAGAAGATTCCGATGTGGAGATACCTGAATTCAATGTTTCTTACAAGCCCCAGAAAATCAGTCCAAAGTTTCCATCCACTGTCAGAGCCTTGTTACATTCAAAAATTCGTGATTCATATACTCATCCCCAATTCATGTCAGATGTGATGAAGCCTCTTCTTATTGAACAATTAATGGATCAAGAAGTTCTGAATCTCTCTGGTGGAGAATTGCAAAGGGTTGCATTATGCCTATGCCTCGGGAAGGTAAATTATTGTTATTCTTGACATAAATCATTGAATTAGTAAAAGTAATGTTGTTGTTCTGCTGGGTTGCTTATATGACGTTGATGCGGAAAGCTTTTTTATATGTCTTGGTTATGAATTTGAGAAGCCTGAATATTCTCTGTAAGCATTGATTGTTTTCATAGATTCTTGTTTTTCAACAGATGGTTTGGTAGTTTAGTTGAAATACTTGGTGAAAGGTCACAAGGCTCAACTGGCTATTTATTTCTTTTCATTTCCTGCTTCTGAAAATTAGAAGTTGTGTTTACTTTTCCCTTATTATCAGTCTTGTGAGTATAGAGTAAGAAGGGAGAGATAGGGTTCCCATGTGATTAATAAAATGGGCCTTTGTGTTGTCCTAATGAATCATTTTCAACACTTTATGTTTCCCTTCTATTTGTTGCCTTGGATGCATCTGAGCAGGCGGGAATTGTCTATCTGAGTTTGGAAGTTGGGATGAGGGTAAAAAAACAAATGATATTATGATGTCTAACCTACGGGGAGGTGGGAGTGCCAGGGGCCTTGCAAATTTTTGGAAAAAAGGAAGGGATACAGGAATCAGGATTGTGTTGTAGTCTGTTAAGTGTGGTCCCTGCCATTTTGTTTTAGATTTTCCGTCCTTGAACACGTTTGGCATATATCATGACCATCTGTCATTCCTATGCTTGTGCTCTAAAACCTTGAAATAATTTTTTTGTTCTCTTGCCAAATATTTGTTTATCCTTTGCCTTCAATTTGACATTGTAAATCTAGTGATTAGTTCACAATAACAGATTCACTCTTTTTTTTATTGTTTCACTGGGAAGGCTGAGTTATAGTTTTTTGTTGTTCTAACCGGTGAAAATGCTTGCAAATCAGCTATCACGGACACATTCTAATCTACGTCTCTATTTACTTAATGCAGCCTGCAGATATATATCTTATAGATGAACCGAGTGCGTATCTTGATTCTGAGCAGCGTATTGTTGCATCCAAAGTCATAAAGAGGTTCATCCTACATGCTAAGAAAACGGCATTCATCGTTGAACATGACTTTATCATGGCTACCTACTTGGCAGATAGAGTTATTGTCTATGAGGGGCAGGCATCAATTGATTGTACTGCAAATGCTCCGCAGTCATTGTTGACGGGGATGAATCTCTTCTTATCTGTAAGTGTTGCAACTTCTTCGTTTCACTCTATTGTTTTGGCCTCCAACTATATTAGTGTGTGATGATAAGAATTTAATTTTGCTCTTCATCGATTTTTTCAAAATGATGCATGCGTGCAGCATCTTGATATCACATTTAGGCGTGACCCGACTAACTATCGCCCAAGAATCAACAAATTGGAGTCGACGAAGGATAGGGAACAAAAAGCTGCTGGGTCCTATTATTACCTGGATGATTGATTAACCCATATGATGGTATGTTACTCTGCTTCGTTCTCTTTTATTTGGGGTACAAATATTACTATGCTTCATTCATTACTCTGTTGATTTCATGTTTCTTCGCCATCTTGATAATTTCGCTGGTGTTTCAGATCGACTTTGCGTTTTTGGCCGAATATGGAGAGGGTGTTAGTATGATTTTATTATGGAATCTCGGCGAAGTCACAGCGTGCTGACATTTGATCGGAGGTCCATTGTCTGTTGAAGAGGGTGATGTTTGTTTCCAGGCCTTTAGATATTGTTGCTACTCGAGTCAAATATGCACATATAATGTGCTTGCAGTTATTCAGTTTTTGGTCTCAGAGTATCAAAAAATCAAATGGATGTTCTTTTTTGGGATGCTTAATATCAGTTTAATACGTTTTAATTTTCACCAAATGACATTGTAGTTCGACATGGCTCTTACTTCAAGTGCTTTTGGAGGATTAACTTGCATTTTTATTGAGGCTTGGTAAACATTTTTTCTAAAGTGCTTTTAGTAATTTGAAAGCACTTCTCAAATGAGCCTTATGTTTAATTTTGGTTATATATAATCAGGGCCTTTATCCAAAGGGTTCTTATTTTTTGGATCCGGATTCTCTTCCTTCCAATTTTCTCTTTGACGTATCCTATTTGAATACTTGCAATTAAGCAACGCCAACATCTTGTGTGACATTTTTATAGAGAGAAAAAGAGAAAGGAGAGAGAGGAGGGGACTAGAGGGGAGAGAATTTTATTCTTTATTCTTTTTTTTTTTTTTGGTAAAAATAGGGATTAGTTGTGGGTCCTAGTATGTAACGAACTACAACGATTCCAAACTATTTATTGTGATGAAATTTCAATGTTTCTTAAAATATAATATAATGTTTTTCAGTACTAACGGAAATGACCTAGTAACGAGAGGTCTTTTTTGACGACAACTAAAGCTAAATTATATTTCAACCCTAATATCAAATTCAGGGTGGGGCATTGCTAACCATATTGTTGCATGAGAATAAGACCAAAATGCAACTTAGGCTATTATCTAAAGACATTGCTACAATTCAGCTTATTAATTTATCCACAAATGCTCTCTTGGTCACTTAGTAGTAAAAGAATGCATGGTCACCCACCATTGATTCAACATTTGATATTAAATCTAACCGTGAATGATTATGTATTCTTGGTCACCAGATGACAATAGACACGAGATTCTTAACTTACGTATTTTGTGCTAGTATTTAATTTATCGAAATTTACTAACCCAATAAATCTCAATTAGAAGTTTTTAACCCCTTATAGAGAAACTGAAGTCTAAATTCAGGTTGAATAAGGAGAAGATTGTCCAAAACTTGAACGCCAAGATATTGACCAAATAAATACTTAGTCTAGTCCTTCTCCTCTCTCATTCTGTCATCCCTGAGCTCAACATCCTTGGTTGAACTGCGCCATTGGAGCTCGATCAGCCACCGAAGCAACTCTCAAACTTCGTCCGGTAAACTCCTCTTCAAGCTCTCTCTCAAAGAATTGTGCTTAACCGACTTAATATTCCATCTCTTTCTGTATATTTGTATGTTTTGGAATTCCGGTTGCGATTGTTGTTAATTTTTCAAGCGTTTCTAGGAGTTTCTTATTGTTTATAAGTTCTTAGTAGTGTTTAGGGGTTGTTTGGTATTCAATTTGAAACAGTTTATAGTATTCAAAATTGACAAATGTAGCTAAATTACTTAGTAATCAATAGTTTCAAAAACAAAAAAGCGGATCCAAGAAGGATGCCAAACAGTCCCTTAATGAGTAGTTTAGGAGTTTGACGAGTCTGTTACTGTCGGTATCATTTGATTTATACCTATCTGGCCAGTCATAAACAATTTGTTCGAATTTTAGATGGCAAACCGGTCTACCCGCATAGCAATACTGAACACTGACAAATGCAAGCCCAACAAATGCAACCAACAATTGTCCACCCGTACATATTGCTACTGTAACTTCTTCTTCTTTTTCCTTTATCTGAATCACATGTAGTGACCGTCTGAATACTATTTACCCGAGCCGCTTTACATTTTTCGTGTACCTCAAATTTGCAGGCAAAAAGTGTATTGAGGTTACACCGACGTCCAAGAGCGCTTCAATCTCCGAAGAATTGTGCACTGGTTGTGGTATCTGTGTTCACGTATGTAATGATAGTATTCGGTTTGGTTGTAGTTTCCTCTTTTTTGTTTATCTTCACTGATTGTGTTGAAGAGGCATTCTTTTGACTCTGGCTCATCATGTGATCATGTAGAAATGCCCGTTTAAAGCAATTCAGATCATCAACCTGCCAAAGGCATTGGACAAAGAAACAACCCACCGTTATGGGCCTAACCATTTTAAGTTACACAGGTCAGTCTCAATCAGTTGGTTCCTTATAACCAAGGTATAAAATATCGATAATATTGGAAATATCGGTAGTTCAAAAACACGGAAATTTCGATAGAAATATTGGGATATTATCTATATCCATAAAAATTGAATAAAAACCACGGAAATTGTAATAAAAACTTGGAAATTTTTATTAAAACTTTGCATGATGTTTATTTAGTCAATTATCTATTAGTTTATCACAAAACAATTGGAAGAAAATGTATTGCATGATGGATTTAACTGATTTAAGTTGATTATATAGCGAGCTGGCAAACATTGTGAGTGTAGAAAATATGTAGTAATTAATGAAAGAAGTTTAAACACACCATAATCATTTATATATAATGAATTAGTACAATATTTTACACTTCATACATTGCATGGTAAGATATATGAGTGACTTAGTACCACATAGAGTTCCTGTCAAGGTCTAAAATATCGATGATATCATAAATATCGGTAATCCAAAAACACGGAAATTTCGATGGAAATATCGGTATAATATCGATATTTTAGACCTTGCTTATAACTTTGTCGGGAACTTCGATCAGTTTCATGTTTTAGTGTTTTAAGATGGTAGAAAGAATCTAACACAATTTCAACTTACAGGTTACCGGTCCCTAGGCCAGGGGAAGTTCTTGGTTTGGTCGGAACTAATGGCATTGGGAAGTCAACTGCCCTAAAAAATTTGTCAGGCAGTTCGAATCCAAATTTGGGCCGTTTCAATGTAATACTCTTTACATATCGTTTTATTTTATGCTAAGTATATGATAACTTTTCATAAGTTTAGTTGATGTGTTAGTTTTTTTTAAAGACTATATATCTTTGATCCTTTTGCAGAATCCTCCAGATTGGCAAGAAATCTTGACTTACTTTCCAGGATCGGAGCTGCAAAGTTATTTTATTCGTCTCTTGCCAGATAAGTTGAAGGTGACTTATGATTTTCATGCTCGTGTGATGTCCTCTCTTTTATGCTCGTGTGTGCAATAATAAGGTTTCTTCAAAAATTATAAATCTTGTCTTTTCTTAAACAGGCCGTTATAAAGCCCCAATACACGGACCACATTCCAAAAGTAATTGAAGGCAGTGTAGGGGAGATTCTAAAACAGAAAGACAAGAGGAGGATGATGGAAGAACTCTGCCTTGATCTTGAGTTATACATGGTTCTGGATCGCAATGTTGGCGAATTGTCTGGTGGGGAGCTTCAGAGGTTCGATTGCTGTTTCTGCCATGCAGAGTGCAGATGTATATATGTTTGATGAACCTTCAAGTTATCTTGACGTGAAGCAAAGGCTCAAAGCGGCGAGAGTTATCCGTTCTTTGATCAGGCCTGATAGGTTTGTTTTCTTATCCATCTTATTGCCTCAAATTTTCATTGATTATATATTTACAGGATCTTTTTCCATCTATATTTAACCGTGCATGTTTAAGTAATAGGCATTTTCCTCACATATTTCAGCTACGTAATTGTTGTGGAACACGATTTGAGCATCCTTGATTACTTATCTGATCACATATGCTGTTTATATGGGAAACCGGGCGCATATGGAGTCGTAACTCCACCTTTCTCGGTTAGAGAAGGAAATCAACATCTTCTTCTCTGGATTTGTTCCTACAGAAAATCTACGTTTCCGGGATGAATCTTTGACTTTTAAGGTAAGGTTATAAGTTATGTTAATGTAAATTCTGTTTTTTTTACTTATCATCTTGTGATTAAGTTGTTATCTTTTCTAGGTTTCTGAGACTCCACGCGAAATTTATGAGGAAACTGAGACATGTGAGCTGTACAGATACCCCTCAATGACGAAAACTTTGGGAGAGTTCAAGCTTCACGTGATTGAGGGTGAATTTACCGATTCTCAGATTATTGTGATGCTCGGTGAGAATGGAACAGGGAAGACCACATTTATCCGTATGCTGGTATGCTTTTTTTCATTTCTTGCTGTTGGATCAGATTTTCAGTTTCATTTTGATATATTAGAGTCATTGTACTCGTTCAAATTGTAGGCTGGTATACTGAAACCCGATGCTGATTTGGAGATGCCAAATCTTCAAGTTTCTTACAAGCCTCAGAAAATTAGTCCAAAGTCCAAACTAACTGTCAAGGACTGGCTTCCAAACAATATTCGCTCATCAGCAGTTTGTGACAGACGTGATGAAGCCTCTCCAAATCGAAATTTATTGGATCAAAAAGTTGAGAAACTCTCCGGTGGAGAGATGCAAAGCGTTGCTTTATGTCTATGCCTTGGACAGGTAACCAGTTTTAATTTATGATCAAGTTTATGATGCGTCATCTGCTTTTACTTATGGAATCTTATAACGTATGTCTTTATTTTTCGCTTCATATTACAGCCTGCAGATATCTATCTGATTGACGAACCAAGCGCGTACCTTGACTCTGAGCAGCGCATCGTCGCTGCAAAAGTCATAAAGAGGTTTATCCTCCATGCGAAGAAAAGTGCGTTTGTGGTTGAGCACGATTTCATTATGGCTACGTACCTGGCAGATAGAGTGATCGTCTATGACGGGAAGCCAGCAGTTGATTGTACTGCCATTTCTCCTCGATCATTGTTAACCGGGATGAACCTTTTCTTATCTGTAAGTCTTGCAACCTTTTCGTCTTTAACGTTTTTTTACATAAACAAGAATATATCCGAGTAAGTTTTGTAATGTGGCAAATGCAGCAACTGGATATCACATTCAGACGTGATCCTACTAATTATCGCCCGAGAATCAACAAGTTGAACTCAACCAAAGATAGGGAACAAAAAGCTGCGGGGACGTATTATTACTTGGACGATTTTAACAAGTCCCCTCCGCCCGTCCCCAAGGGCGGGACTCTATGGGACAAGACTCGACCAAGCCTCAGACCCCAAACGGGTCAGGTACGGTTTACTCATTCCAACACTAATGCCCGATTTTCCTCTGTTTATGCTGTATATTCATGGCATCTTGATACATAGTGCAGTTATTGTGTTTTGCATTTTGGCAGAAACTTAGAGGGCAAGGCATCGATAATACTGACTCAAGTGAAAACAGTGATGGAGACAAGGCTGCGCTGCTGACGTGCACTGACAGTTGACGATGGGAGGAGGTCCAATGCCTGGTGAAGAAGAGATTCCAGAGGAGGGATAACAAAGTGTGTTCGAAGCAGTGTTACTCAGTACTAAGTGTGTTTTGATTTGATGCCATATGAGCTAAGTGTGTTTTGATTTGATGCCATATGAGCTAAGTGTGTTTTGATTTCAATTATGTGAAAATAAATTGGAGATGAAAACACCGAAATTACGTCCGCACATTGCTGCGGGAACCAGCTGTTTCAGGCATAATCGAATGAATAAAACACATTTAAGTTGAATAAATTCAACACAATTATGAATACATTAAGATGAATATAGATTCTTAACATGTTTAAGTAGCAAAAAGATTACAACACTTTGGATGTGTTAACAATCCATAAGCTGATGACTCCCTCTCTAGTTTATCGCATCATTCTTATTGTATTCAACAATGCAGCAGCAATTACAAGTCCTTGAAAAATGCCTAGCTACTATAAAGACATGACGAAAACTATATCTCACCTTACCCCCTTGTTGGCATAGATAGCATATCCGTCCTTGTTCGGGGCGAATCATAATCCTGAACTCCATTATCATCATCGTCGAGAATGTCAAATTGTAAATCAACCATGCATTAAACAAAACTTAGAAATTAAACAATTATCAAAGCTTGGGAAGAATGCTAAATCCAATTAATTCGAAACATAAAGCAACCTGAAAGAGCCCGAAAGAGAGAAAACTTATAAATTCTATATAAATTATAATCCTTAAGAAAATGATGGAACAAAACAGGTTCATTCTTAAGAACATATGTAATTTTACACATTGCATATATGTAGATTAAGGACGGCCTGGGCTAAAATAAAGAGGATGAACTCTAGAAAGTAGAAAATGTTGTTGTTCAACCAAACTCAAAAGTAAAGAAACCATACTATTAACATATAAATACGTTTTATATATCAATGTTTACATGTAAGTTGTTTGAGAAGGTAAATTAGCAACATACACAGTGATCAAAAGATTAACAGCAATAAACTGCTCATTATTCGAAATATGCATGAAAGTTGTCATTCACATGATCCAAATGGTAGTTAATGCAGAGGACAAAATAGAAGGAAACAAATATTTAGTGGCATAAGTTGAATAATTGCAGCAAGCAAACAAATAGAAGACTCAAAAACTGGAAATGAAAACAGGTAACATTGAGTTTTAATAATAAAAAAGGGACCTTGTTTAAGCAGCTCCACAGCATCATTTATACTTGGACGATGAGCGGCAAAAACAGAAAAGAAAACACAAATTAAACAAAAAATATATAGAATTTAACACTAATCCAAGGATTAAACGTCAAATATAAAGTCAATAGGATTGGGACCTTTGCATTGAGGAATATCTACTACATTATGAGTTCCCTCCTTATAAAGCCCAATCAGGGAGTTTTCCGGTGAGCCACGAACGGTTACCTTTTCACGACACCGCCATCCCCACTAACACCAAACCCAGATAATATCAAGAACAAAACTAACCAATACCAGAAAGATATTTCTTTTTATTTAAAGTTTAAGAAAAGGCCTAAACTTTATGAAATTAAGAGGAAAAAAAAAGTTAAGTAAAGCACCAATTTGCAACTGTCAAAGTGAAATTTGAGACTCCAACTGTGTTGAAGAACTCTGTCGCCTTATCGACGATGACCGGATGGTGGAGATTGAACTGGTGCGTAGACCCGGAGCACCTGATTATACACCGAACAGAAAACAAAATTTAAATCAAGTCGAACAATAATTATGAGAAAAAAAAACAAAAGGATTTGAGCTGAGAGTTATGATTCGAAGTGCGGGCAGTGGAGGGTGCAGGATAACGACGGCGGAGGAGGGGTTGAGCTAGGGCTTAGTGAGAGAGAAGTTAGTGCTAAAAGCACTATTTGTCAGCCAATCATATAACAGCCACACCACTTTTCTATATATGACAAAAATTAAGAGTTCTCCAAACTCAAGCATGAAATTAGATTCACCAGAGAACTGGAAATCGCACATGAACAAAATAATATACATCATGCCGTGATTTTGAAAGAAAAAAAGAATACCTTCTTCATGTCCGCTTTAGGAGGTGGAGGCTCTTGATAGAAGATTGGCATTGGAGTTGTTTTAAGTCAGTTTCTTCCTGAACATCCTAATGTCAGCTTCTAGAGTTTCCAGTAAAAGAACAGACAACATTCATAATAAGAATGTACTTGCACACACAGGTTTCAACTGACCACCATTGATTGAATACCACCTCATGCTTGGCTTGCAAATTATTCTTCTCCATCTCCTTTGCATGTATCTTTTCCTCCAGTTTAGTATAAAACTGCCCAAGGTAATTGTAAACGTTACTTCGATAATAGATTAGCACACAGCAAAGGAAAAATCAGAAAGATGCAAATGCAGAAACAAACCACCCAAAAATTCAATATCCATTTTCCCCTCTGATGCTATTTTTAAGAAAACTATCATCTCCCTCAACAGATTATTCATGAGATAATTTAAAAAATAAAATAACTTTCACCATTAACTGTGAATATCCTCATAGGGTAACGATTCTCAGAATTAATCCCTACCTACCTCCTATCCAGAATTAAACTTAGTTTTCCAAAAGCAAATTATACTGATTGATAAGGATTTAGGAGCAGTATGTGCATATGCAATAACACTCATAATTTGTGAGTTTTATGTAAATGATCCATTAATTTTCTATATTCAGGAGACAGTTTCTGATATTAAATTACGCCGGAGGGTACGCGAAAGTTGGATTGTGGTTTATTTGGTTCTACTTCTGAATTTCCTCTTCATTAAATTGTTTACTTACCTGCTTCTAGTCTCTACTTATGAATCTATTTGTTTAGAATGAAGTTAGAAGATGTTCTAGCACCAGAGACTATTAGAAGTTGGAAAGATATGCCGATTAAGCGGTTGGAGAACAGTTTGGGAAACTTTGGGTAGGAAATATGCTCGCAAGGAAAACTGACAATGGGTAAGTATCACTCTCAAAGCTGGTTTATGTTTAAATTAGTGAAATACCATAATCTTTGCTGGTTGGTTTTCACTCTTGGCCTATTTTAGTGTGTAAATGCTGAATGTATTCCTCTTTTTGCTTGATCCTGGGCAACTTTTACACCCTTACTACATTGTCACCTTTCTGATTTTTGAAGAACGAAGACTTAACTTTGTCCTAAACTTTTCCTAAATCAACCTAACCGTGTCTTAAAGATTTAGACCCGACGACGTAGTAGTGTTTTGGCAATTCTATTTCTCTTCCACCTTAATTACAGAAGTAGCACAATTTATGGGGAAGAGAAGTTTTCATGCTGATGAAAGATATACACTCAACATCTTTCAGATTCGGGGATTGTACGTTTTAAATTGAATTGGATAAAGCTAAATATATTATTTGAAAGACCTATTCTTCAGAAGTTCTAATCATATCCTATTCATTCTTAGTGTGGTTGTGAAAATCTCCTAATGCATAGTTTAAGGAGCTGTAGGAATCCGTTTTGTTCTGTGTGGAACACTTAGGCAACGGTGTAATAACATGCAAGATTGGAAGTGCAAAGAAAAAGACTAATAGGATCATCTGCTAGAGTCTAAAGTTGAGAGAAGTGCAAGAAAACTACAAGTATGTGAGAAATTTTATTTTGCTAATCGGAATTCTGGTTTATAGATGCATGATAAAATAATTGAAAAGCCATAGTTTATCACATGGTTTTTTATACTAGCCATAATTAGACTAATGTGATTTATACCTAGAGACTAATGTGGTTTTTCACATGCTTTTTTCTCTCAAAATTTATAGGAATATGAAAATGATCATCACAAATTTAAAATCCTGCATTTACCGAAATTAAAACAATTATTCAAATTTCTAAATTAAAACAGCATTTAGAAGCACTATAAACTCAAATTACAAAAAACATCAACAACATGGTGAGAATGAAGATTTATTTTATAGAAAATGATAAATCTTTCTCAACCAATATGCTAAAAATGTTCACCACCAGTATATAATAAAATACCGAATGCTAAATTCATCACATAGCACCAACTTTAAATAGATCTTCTTCCGAAATTAAATTAAGAATTCACATGCCACTCATTAAGAAACTGATACTAACTGAAGTTGTATATTGTAAAATGCAACTGCATTTAGAATTCCTAAGTCATATCAGTTAGCAAGAAACCCATACGCAAATACAAAAAGACCAAGCTTTTGCTGCAAAAAAGCTTTTACAAAATCATAAAACTCTTTAACCGTTTGAACCCTACCATAAAGTTTATATGAGTTGAAGAACAGTTGTACCTAGGTGCAGCAAGATCATAACCTCTTACAGCTTCTCCTTCGCATCAGAACCACCTGCAGTCCAAATTAAGAAAGATTCAATGCCAGATCAAGAACAAATCAGTAATAATTTAAACTAA